CCCTCCGGGGCGGGGGGCACGCCGGCGGCCCAAGCCGGGTCTGGGGAGGCCTGGGGCGTGCGGAAGGCTGGGAGCCGACCCTGAGCTGTCACGGGAAGGGGGTGGGGGAGGGTGCAGCCACACGGGGATGGAGGTGAGTGAGCTGTCAGCGGCGGAAAGGGAATGGGGAGCGGGGAGAGCAGAGCGCATGTTTACGGAACGAGGCTTTCAATTTTCGGGGAAGCCAGGGCGAGTGTGTGGTAGCGACAGAAGAGCCAGTGCGTGGGGCAGGAGGGGAAGGAGGAAAGGGGAATCTGGGGAATCTGGTGTCAAGCTGTCAGTTGTGTACTTCTCGGGAAAGGCTTTAAAGCTGCCTGATTCTTGGGAAGAAACTGATGATGTGATTTGGATTGGCTGGGCGGGGGATGGTATTAGGGACGGAATTGGGTCGCAGGATTGTAAGAGTCGGGGAGGTGTCTTGCAGCCAGCTGCAGGGGAGAACGGCTTGGGGAGAAGGACTTCCGAACTGTCAGTGTGTCTGTCAGTGTCGGGGAAGGAGCTCTAGCGCCTGTGAGGTTGAGGGAGGAGGGAAGGGGAGGGGCCTGCATGAAAAGTGACTGTTGAGCTGTCAGTGGAGTATTTGGTGTGCTGGAATGACATCTAGAATTGGGCTACTGAACACTCGGTTACAGAATACCCTACACACCAGAAGAACAAACAAAACACTGAGCGAATTAGGAATCGAGTGTTAGGTCTTCTCCAGTTAAAAGGGCACTTTATTCACTCGCTAATATGCGAACCTCTATCTAAAGAGGGACAGTCAACAAATGTTTTTTAGATAGCAGCAATGTACCAGGGTGTTGGGGCTTAGGACAAAAGGCATTTCAGAGATTGCAGTGAGCTAACGAGTTGGTACGTGTATACTGTCTTGGATTTGGGACACGATATCAATGTCTGGGGAAGTCCTGGGAAAAGAAGAAACCTGATGCAAGAGAGGACATTTTGTCTGGGCGGTAGTTGAAAGGATGTTAGCAAACCCAGTTATTCAAGTTTAAAATTTTTCAGGTTTTATAATTGATGATAGAGCATAATCCCTTTAGAAATGGTCACTGTTTTCTTCTTTGGAGTATTTGTAGGTTACTGTTACTATAGAACCTTTGTATCTATCAGGTGCAAGCAAGGCATCTAGGATATCGAAGATGAACAAGACATTGACCTACCTCTTAAGCCGCTTAAGTAGAGTAGAAAATGATAAATTCTTTAAATAATCTGGAAGTTAGAGGAGGCTTCTGTGCAGAGGCAGTACTTCAGGAAGGAGGTATTTTGACCTTGCTACTGCAACTAGTAACAACAACAACAGCAGTAGTAATTGCAGCCAACATCTGAGAACTAAAAAATGAAATATTAAAAAAAATATTTAAATATTTAACTGTTTAAAAAATTAAATACTTAAAAATTAATATTTGAATAGCTAAGATATTCATATAGCTAAAAAAGCAAAAGAAAAAAATAAAAAGATGCACGGTTTGAAGTTTCCCTCCTATCTTGTCTTTTATCTGCCCAGTTCCTTCCCACCATTATTACTTTTCTTAGTGCTTAAAAATGAATAAGGATGAATATGTATTTTGATTTTTCAGTTTCTTTTATGTAAAAGGTAACATATTATATACACTGTTCTATACATCTTGCATTTGTCACTTATCCAAGAGGTCTTTCCATGTCAGTAAATCAGTACTCTACTTTAAGAGTGTTGTTAACACTTTCCTGGTTGGCTCAGTCGGTTAAGTGTCTGACTTGGGCTCTGGTCATGATCTCATGGTTCGTGAGTTCAAGCCCTGCATCTGGCTCTGTGCTGACAGCTTGGAGCCTGCTTTGGTCCTCTCTCTCTCTCTCTCTCTGCCCCTCCCCTGCATGCACTTTGTCTCTCTCTATCAAAAACGAATAAAGGTTAAAAAAAGGAAAAAAAAAAGAGTGTAATTAACACTTTGGATTTTTATCCATCTGTTTGGTAAACAGTGGTCAAAGATTAACTGCTTTACATTATGTAACTCTTTTAATCTCCAACAGTTCTGAGATTGTTACTGTCACTATTCTCATGATACAGAAGAGGAGGGTGGGGCACAGAGTTTTAAAAACTTGTTTAGGATTATACAGGTAGTAAGCTAGGTATGCTGGCTCCAGAGAGTCACAACTCAACATTTCTCTCTACTGTCTCTACAAATAGCATTCCTATTGGTACTTCTGTTCGATACTGTGTTTTGTCTTTCTTTCTTTTTTTTTAATATGCCCTTCCTATTTGAGCTTTTGTTTATTTTTCTTTTTAAAAATGAAAAAAAATTTAAAAGGGATTTTAAAACAGGAATTAGAACAATCCTTTACTGATATTCAGACATTTTTTTAAAATTAAAAAAAAATTTTTTTAATGTTTTTATTTATGTTTGAGACAGAGAGACAGAGCATGAGCTGGGGAGGGGCAGAGACAGAGAGAGACACAGAATCTGAAGTAGGCTCCAGCCTCTGAGCTGTCAGCACAGAGCCCGACACGGGGCTCGAGCTCATGGACCATGATAGACCTGATGGTCTGATGATAGACCTGATGGACCTGAGCTGAAGTCTGAGACTTAACTGACTGAGCAACCCAGGTGCCCCTATTTAGACATTTTTTACTTCTTAGACTAGGTTAGCATTTGGGATGCCCCTAAACAAGGTGAAAGTAGGAAATAATATTGATTCTATCTTGAAGTTTGGAACACGGTAGTAATTGTCGAGTTGATCTGATTGAGTTGCAAGTCTGATCTGTAATTGTGATGCTTCAGTGCTGGGGCGGAAAGATCTCTGAGTTTCTTTGAAGGTACTCATACAGGTTTTCGGGCATTTGACTGTGTCAGATAGTCCACATCCTAATCTTACAACATTTGCCTTTCTTTGCTGACATCTGGTAGATTCTTATTTTTTTTTCCTAGTCAGGCAGTGCTCTTATGAGTTGATACATAGTACTAAATAATTACTGTTGCCTATCTGAAAGGCAGAGCTGTTGCTGTATGTGCTAGCAGCTGCCATGTCCAATTTCAAGGTATTCCAAGGTAAACAATAAAAGTATTGTGGCCATGTAAATATTCTGAGATTTTTACAGCTCTGGGTTAGAAAGAATAATTCCAGGCTACACAGAATTAATCTACTGCCTGGAGAGACAGAGGTGATGTTAGCCAACAGTGCAGGTTAAAAGGCTGCCTCTGGAACCTTTTCAGAACTGGAAATCATCAGCAAATTATAGCAGTTTTTCTGGTGGGCAAAGCTGGACTATCCTGGCATGGACAGAATATATTTAACTTTTCTCAGTTTTCTCAGTTTTGATATTTCTTAAAACCCTGTTAGGTTGCTAAAAATTAAAGACGTGTTGTTTTGGAGTTGTTGTAACTGCCATTGAAATTTATAAATCCCATTGTTCAATAAATTTTTAAGCAAGTATTCTATTTTTCTCTGTATCTGTTTTCTTAGTAAAAGAGAGAAAAACCTGCTGTGCCTTAATCCGTTCCCCAAATGTCTGTTTTGGGTAAGATTTTGTATGATTGGAGATGGGGAAGAAGCTTGGATCCATCACAACCTATATTACTATTTAATTTTCAAATTTATAATTATAGAAATATGGGGAGAAGATTTAAGTTATTTTTGATTAGTGTTATAGATATAATGTAATATTAACAGGTATACAAACCAAAGGAAGAAAACAACTGAGAATTCATTTGTGGGATGAAATCACAAAGGCTATGGAATATGGAAGCTAGATATTAATAACTATATCATAACAGCATAATTTTGCCATTAATGAATAAATGCATCATTGTCACAAATGATTGAAGGATGGATAAAGTTTAAAAAAGTAATGAAAAATCTAAAATCATGTCTGATTGGTTTGGGGTTCTGATGATGCTAACCAGAAGTTGGAATTTTAAACAATTAGTTCTCAAATTTTGATGAGATGATGACCATTTTTATGTTCTATCCTGTATTAATAGATTTTTTTGTTTTTTGCCTCCTTGCTTGTTCTTCTTACACATTCTAAGCTCCTTAAAAATAGGAATCTCATCTTGCAGTTAGTTAATCAGAGGCCAGCGTAGTCTCGTGCACTTACTAGATGCTTAGTAAATTGTATAAAATAAATTGAATTCAGTTGGATAAAATAGTGGTTGTTGTATCTGAAAATTTACCCTAAGATTACATTGGTTTAGGTATTCAGGAGGTGGCACTGATTATTAAATTCATTGCATTTTTTTTCCAGAGTGATTTAGGTTTAATTTCCTTCTTTTTTAATTTCAAAAGTAATACATATTGCTTAGAACATAAAAGTAAGTGGATAAAGTAAAAAGTAAGGGTTCCTCTTTCCTCCATCCCACTCCTCAGTGAGAGATTTCCCTTATTTTCTTTTGAGCTTAGCTATACATTTAAAAGGTATTAGTTATAATTTACTTTGCAATTGTAGATGTTTTGTTGTGAGAAATTTTTAGGTTATTTGGTCTGTGGCAGTGCCAGAAATGGAAGCAGTGAATGTCTGGTTGAATTGTGTCATACTCTGCTGTACCAGGCTTTTTTCCCCTTACCGTATTTATTGCACACGGTCTCTTATTAGTGCACATAGAACCATTTTATTTTGTTTTTTTTATAGTTAAATTATAGTTCATTGCATTTTTAATTTTTTTTCCTGTTAATTTATGCTGTCATTTCCCTACTGGTAGACATTTAAATTGTTTTCAGTTTTAGAGTATTATAAACGTTGTTGCAGTCAGTATGCTTATATACACTTATTTGTATATATGTGTGAGCACATGGGTGAGGATAAATTCCTAGAAGTGATATCTTGCTTAAAGGAAGTGTATATTTTAAGCTTCGATAGACCCTCCGAAGACATGGATTTACACTCCCACTGACAATGTATGAAAGAGCATGTTTCCCTATGTCCTGGCCAGTGTATATGGTGTTATCTGTATTTCAATCTTTGTTAAGTGAGAAGTGTATCTTGTTTAATTAATTATTCCTCTCTCCACTGCTCTTTACTTCCAAACTGGAGTATTTTGAAGCAAATCTCAGTTATATTATAATTTAATTTATGAATATGTGAATATGTATCTCCGTAAAGAGATAATAAAAATAAACTCATAAGAATAAAACATAACCCAAATGTCCACTGACAGATGAATGGGTCAACAAAATGTAGTTTATACATAAGATGGAATGTTGGGGTGCTTAGGTGGCTCAGTTGGTTTAAGCATCTAACTCTTGATTTTGGCTCAGGTCATGATCTTATGGTTCCTGGGATCCAGCCCCAAGCTGTCAGCGTGGAGCCTGCTTGGGATTCTGCAGCCCCCTGTCTCTCTGCCCCTCCCCTGCTTACGTGCATGCATGCTCTTTCTCTCAGATAATAAATAAACTTAAAAAAAAAGATGGAATGTTACTCAACCTTTAAAAGGAATGAAGTTCAGACACATGCTAGGAATGAAGTTCAGACACATGGATTGTGGTGATGGCTGCAC